ATGAAGGGTTAGAAGGCAGGATCATCAAGTCCAGCCTCTTTGATAAGGCAGGAGGCCCGTGTTAGAAGCACCAGAAACAATTCACTGATGTGACACGTTGAATTCTGATTCAGAAATGGATCTTTTATAATAATAATAAATAAGAAGACTTTATTTATACCCCTCTACCATCTCCCAAGGGACTCGGTGTGGCCGAGCCCACAATACATCAATACAAGCAATAACAACCACAATAGCACAAAACACATTTAAAAGTATGGCTGGGCCAAATGTAATTAAGTTAAAAAATAATGCTGGGCATGAACAAGATAGAGGAGGTGGGGCGAACAAGCAGTCCTAAATCAGTATAAAGTGCTTTCAGAGGACATAATGCAAGGGTTCACTATTCTGGGAAGGCACCCTGGAACAACGATGTTTTCAGGCTCCTCCTAAAGACTGCCAGAGTTGGGGCTTGCCTGATGTCCTTAGGAAGTGAGTTCCAGAGTCGAGGGGCCACCACTGAGAAGGCCCTCTCTCTCGTCCCCACCAATCGCGTTTGCGATGCAGGTGGGAGCGTGAGCAGGGCCTCTCCAGATGATCGAAGAGATCGTGAGGGTTCGTACACAGAAATGCGGTCATGCAGGTAGGCGGGTCCCAAACCGTTCAGGGCTTTGTAGGTAAGCACCTGCACCTTGAATTGGGTCCAGAAAATGAATGGTAGCCAGTGGAGCTCCTTGAACAGGAGGGTTGACCGCTCCCTGCAAGAAGCACCAGTTAACAACCTGGCCGCCGGCCGTTGGACCAACTGAAATTTCCGACCCATTTTCAAGGGCAGCCCTACGTAGAGCGCATTACAGTAGTCCAATCTGGAGGTGACTAAGACATGGACCACCCTGGCCCGATCTGCCTTCACGAGGTATGGCCGCAGTTGGCGCACAAGTCTCAGTTGTGCAAAAGCCCTCCCAGACACCGCCGACGCCTGAGCCTCAAGAGTAAGTGATGAATCCAGGAGGACTCCCAAACTGTGGACCTGTGGCTTCAGGGGGAGTGTAACCCCGTCCAGCACAGGTTGCCACCCTATACCCCGATCCAGTTTGCGATCGACCAGGAGGACCTCTGTCTTGTCGGGATTGATCTTCAGCCTGTTCCTCCTCATCCAGATAGACACAGCAGCCAGGCACTCGTCCAGCACTCGAGGGGCTTCCTTGGAGTTAGGTGGAAATGAGTAGTAGAGTTGTGTGTCATCTGCGTAGAGGTGGCACCCAACTCCAAAACTCCGGATGACCTCTCCCAGCGGTTTCATGTAGATGTTAAAAAGCATGGGAGACAAAATAGAGCCTTGCGGGACCTCACAGGTCAAAGGCCAGGGGTCCGAGCAGGCATCTCCCAGCTTCACCATCTAGGATCGACCCTCCAGGAAGGACCAGAGCCACGACAAAACCGTGCCCCCAAGACCCATCCCAGATAGTCGACCCAGAAGGATACCATGGTTGATGGTATCGAAAGCCGCTGAGATGTCCAAGAGGACCAGCAGAGTCACACTCCCCCTGTCCAGCTCCCTATGGAGGTCATCCACCAAGGCGACCAAGACCGTCTCAGTGCCGTGGCCAGGCCTGAAACCAGACTGTGACTGATCTAGGTAGCTGCTGTCATCTAGAAAGCCCTGGAGCTGGGAGGCAACCACCCGCTCCAGCACCTTGCCCAAGTAAGGGAGGTTGGAGATTGGTCAAGTTGTTCAGCACCGTGGAGTAGATAATTCTGTCTTACATAGGAACACATTGCCTGTAACTCCAGTGTTTGAAAAATACAGTTCTAATGGACATGTGGTTATGGCACATTTCATTGAACCGTTAAGCAAGTGGAGATGTGAACCTGGAGGGACAGCTGAGCCATGACCATGTGGCAGGCACGACGAGAATTGTAACATTTCCTGTGGTCCCTGTGGGTATAAAAGGGAGTGACAGACATGTGCATGATCTCTTGCTATGTGGCTCTCTCGCCACCATCTTTTGGCATGTGCGTGTCTTGCTATAGTCATCACTGCTCATTGTGTGGTTGTGAGTATATCTCCATATATACTGATAGCAGACCTAGAATCCTAGAATCAAAGAGTTGGAAGAGACCTCCTGGGCCATCCAGTCCAACCCCATTTGGCCAAGAAGCAGGAATATTGCATTCAAATCACCCCTGACAGATGGCCATCCAGCCTCTGTTTAAAAGCTTCCAAAGAAGGAGCCTCCACCACACTCCGGGGCAGAGAGTTCCACTGCTGAACGGCTCTCACAGTCAGGAAGTTCCTCCTGACCTGAAGTGGAATTCATTAATTCTGGTAAGGCTTTCCAAATAGGCCTTTAACTTCAGTTTCAAATGGGAACTCAACATACATAGTTCAAATAGAATGGAGTCTCTTTCTTTGAAGGTCTTTAAGCAGAGACAGGACGACCCTCTGATGGGAGGGCATTACTTACTTACTTACTTACTTAGGCAATCCCTCATTGTCAGAGTAGGATAGTCCTCCAGGGTGGGTCCGTAGGTGACTGTGGAGCCCTATTCTTGACCCGCATCTTCTCCCGCAGTGAGCACATTGGTTTCCAGACGGAAGGCGGCCCCGGTCACAGTTGGCTTGACATGCCTTCCTTTTGGCACATTTCTCTCTTTCACCCTCCATTTGTGCCTCTTCAAATTCTGTCAGCACTGCTGGTCACAGCTGACCTCCAGCTGGAGTGCTCAAGGGCCAGGGCTTCCCAGTTCTCAGTGTCTATGCCAGAGTTTTTAAGGTTGGCTTTGAGCCCATCTTTAAATCTCTTTTCCTGTCCACCAACATTCAGTTTTCCATTCTTGAGATCGGAGTAGAGCAACTGCTATGGGAGACGGTGGTCAGGCATCTGGACAACATGGTCGGTCCAGTGGAGTTGATGGCGGAGGACCATGGCTTCAGTGCTGGTGGTCTTTGCTTCTTCCAGCATGCTGACATTTGTCCGCCTGTCTTCCCAAGAGATTTGCAGGATTTTTCGGAGGCAACGCTGATGGAATCGTTCCAGGAGTTGCATCTGACATCTGTAGACAGTTCACGTTTCATAGGAGTATAGCAGGGTTGACCAGACAATAGCTTTATAAACCACCTTGGTATCCCTACGGATGTCCGTCCTCAAACACTCTCTGCTTCATTTGGAAAAATGCTGCACTCGCAGAGCTCAGGTGGTGTTGTATTTTGGTGTCGATGTTGACTTTGGTGGAGAGGTGTCCTCCTGCATAGCAAAAGGGGGTTGGACTAGGTGGCCTTTGGAGTTCCCTTCTGTATAATTGATTTGCTCATAAAATCAATTATTCAGAAGGGAACCCCAAAGACTATCTAGTCCAACCCCCTTTTGCTATGGGATATCTGGAATACACTGCCTGGGAGTCCAGTGGAGCCTCTTCCCCGGAGCATGGATAGGCTTGGATTGGCCGAAAAGGGTTGGTCTAGATGGCATTTGGGGGTCCTTTCCAACTTGAATGGGACCTAGATTGCCTGGGAGCAATGGAGTCTGAAACAGAGGCTGAACAAGGGACCTTTGATTGTGGATTCCTTCCTGGCAGAATGGGGTTGGACTAGATTGCCTTTAGGAGCCCCCTTCCAACTCCAGGATTCTATGAGTCTGACATGAATGCAAGCAAATGACCTTCTCGATATAGTCCTTTTGCCCCCACCTGACCTCTTCTTGCATTTCAGGACGAGCGGAACCAGATCCTGACGGCATACCTGTGGATCCGGCAGGTGTGGGTGGATGCCTACCTGAGCTGGGAAAGAGAGGCCTACGATGGCATCGACTCCATCCGCATCCCTAGCAGCTACGTCTGGAGACCGGACATCGTCCTTTACAACAAGTGGGTCCCAAAGCAGGGCAGAGGGGAGAGGAAGGGGTGCAGTAGTTGTTCTACTCCATAGGGTTGGAGTCTGGCTTCTGGAGGAGGACCACGTATAATGACATAGCTGGCCAGATTCGGTCCACAGCCTTCATGTAAAGGTCCCTGGTCCGGATGGAGGGGAGTCGTAGTCCCGCTCTATTCTGTTGAACTGTGGTTGAAAACAACATGTTTACATAGTCGGAGACAATAACTCTTTAAGTTAAGAGAGTCAAACAAGATTAATAACCAGATTAATAACCCTGTGTCCAGTTCTGCAGAGATATAAGATGGGTGGGAGACCTAGCTTGGAAAGAGTAAGTGCAAAAGGGATTCAGATGTCTTAGTGGTGCTCAACCTGGGGTCCCCAGATGCTTTTGGCCTACAACTCCCAGAAATCCTAACAGCTGGTAAATTGGCTGGGATTTCTGGGAGTTGTAGGCCAAAAACATCTGGGGACCCCAGGTTGAGAACCACTGTAGTAGACCTTAAACCCCATTTTGTGAATACACCACCTCTCTCTGTCCCTTGGAGAAAGAGGCGAGGGTACAGACCCTGCATTCCTGCAGTCTGCCACACTTTTGGAAAGGAAGAAGGTCTCTTATATAGTACTAGCCGTCCCCTGCCACACGTTGCTGTGGCCCAGTCTGTGTATATGTGTTTTGTGTGTGTATATATGTGTATATGTGTGTGTTTGTGTATATATGTGGTTTTGTGCATGCATTGTAATGTATTTTGTGCATGCATTGTAATTTAATTTTTTTTTGGCTTTTTAAGTCTCTTTCACTGTGATTTCAGTGTTTTTATGAGTGATGATCACTTGTTGGCCTGATAGGTGTATTGTGTCCAAATTTGGTGTCAGTTAGCCCAGTGGTTTCTGAGTTATGTTAGCTGACTGCCTGACTGCCTGGGCGTCTCCTGTCTTCTGTCGACGGTCCCGCCGCCACCTGAGCCTGGGACCGCTGAGTGAGTTCTATCTGGCCCGGCGTGAGGACCGGCGTGAGTACCATCGCGGCCGCCGTCGCGGCCGCCATCTTGCCCACCTCCAGGCCCTATCGCTGTTGTGGCCGAGAGAGAAGCACGCCGAGTGCAGCCAGGGGGAGAGACGAGCCGCGAGGGACACAGCGCGGTTGGTCCCCTGGAAAAAGCCTCGGTGTTGGGGCCCCTCGGGCTCGGTGAGGACTCGGCCGGGCTCGGCCGGATCTTGGGGGTCTTGGGGGCGCGGCCTGGACCGCGGCTGCCGGCCGGCTGGCCGAGCCGGGCCATACAGTGTGAGACTCCCCGGCGAAGATACCATCAGTTGCCGGCGAGGATTCCTCCAGGGGCCAGAGCAAGCTGCTGGGCCGCGGGCCAATTGGCCAAATTGAGCCGAAGAGAGACGGGCCCTTGCCATGTGGCTTCGGCCTGTGGCCTAACCATCTGGACTTGTTCGTCTCCCTCGGCCGCTGGGCCAACTAGGCTTTCCACCTTTGCCTATTCTGCCCGGGCCCTACTGTCTTTCCACCTGGTCCTCACCACTGGCCAAGCGGCGGCCCCCCCTCCCTCTCTTTTCAATCATTGCGGACCATTGTGTTGACCAATTTTGTGCAGATTGACTTGTATAGATTCAGTGAGGCGAGCCGCTCTTGTGTAGACCGACGGTTGTAATTTGTAGACCGACGGTTTTACTTTTGTGTAATTTAACTGAAGATAGACCATCTGAGCTGTCCGCCACCGTGTCGACCACCTCCGGAGGTCCATCCGCTAACTTACATCAAACGTCAGCTATTTACATCTGAATCATAGCACTTTACTAACTTCCAGTCTCCTGACTACTGTGTACATTTTGCGAACACTGCACGGTATAGTCCACCCTACCTCTGCTGCTAATGTGGTAATAAGAACATAATATAGCGCTTAGTGGCGCCTGTTCCGTAGCCAACTGTTTGCACTTTATCAACTGTTGCACTTTACCCCTCCTAACTCCTCCTGCCGCACTTTAGTAGTATAGGGGGCCAAATATTTTTCTGTTGAGGCTGTTGCACTTTAATATCTTGTTGCACTTTAAAAAACCTTGCACCTTAAGAATTACTCGGTAGCCGCGGAATTTACTTTGCACTTTGCACTTTAATACTCGAGTATTCAAAGAACCATCTTTCGCGGCTAACGCTTGCCTCCGGTATCCTCCATCTACCGAAGTGTTCATTTCCATCCATGTGGCCCTCCACCCTCCTATGCTTACTGTCCCTGTTACTATTATCTGGTGGAAACGAACATTACATTTTAATGTATATAGAAGCTATCAAGAAAAAAGCACATTTCCTAAAAGAAGAACCAGGAAAATAAGACTCTGACTGGAAATAGAAGGTCAGCTGTTGTCCTCTCCTTTTTGCCTTGCCTTTTACTCGTGTGTAAATCTTAAAATGGTCATATGACTGGTCAAATAAAGAAATTATTATTCTAGTTATATTTTGTAGATATATAGAAGATTTTGGTTAAGTTTCATTGGTTTTTTTTAGTTTTGTTGTTTTGCCATTTTGTGAGTGTGTTGTTGTGTTGTTTTTCATTTTGAGTAGATATGTTTGTACCTTGTGGGTTGTGTTATGGGCATGGCAATTTTGGTTAAGTTTCATTGCGGGGGTTTTGAGTTTTGTTGTTTTGCCGTTTTGTAAGTGTGTTGTTGTGTTGTTTTTCATTTTGAGTAGATATGTTTGTACCTTGTGGGTTGTGTTATGGGCATGGGAATTTTTGTTAAGTTTCGTTGGGGTTTTTTGGAGTTTTGTTGTTTTGCCGTTTTGTGAGTGTGTTGTTGTGTTGTTTTTCATTTTGAGTAGATATGTTTGTACCTTGTGGGTTGTGTTATGGGCATGGGAATTTTGGTTAAGTTTCGTTGGGTTTTTTTGAGTTTTGTTGTTTTGCCGTTTTGTGAGTGTGTTGTTGTGTTGTTTTTCATTTTGAGTAGATATGTTTGTACCTTGTGGGTTGTGTTATGGGCATGGCAATTTTGGTGCAGTTTCGTTGGGGGGTTGTGGAGTTTTGCTGTCCCGTTGAACTAATTTAACAGATTTATATATATAGATTTCTGCCGTTGTTCTAAATTGATTAATTTGTTATCCAGCTATAACATGTTGAGTCCATCAGTCCCGGACAGGTGTTGCTTTTCCTTCTTAACATAAGGAACCATTGTTTGACTCCCTTAACTTAAAGACTTATTGTCTTTGACCATGTAAACATGTTGTTTTCAACCACAGTTCAACAGGTCAGCAATGTCAGGAGTTCTCACCAGTATGTTTTTTTTTATCACAGTTCAGTTCAGCAGTTCATGAGTTCTTCACTTCCTTTTGCAGTTTTCCATAATGCCATTTAGGCCTTAAGCTATTTAGGATGATATCTTCAGTCTTGGCCAGACCCCAATCATTTCATAGAATCATAGAATCCTAGAATCAAAGAGTTGGAAGAGACCTCATAGGCCATCCAGCCCACCCCCATTCTGCCAAGAAGCAGGAATATTGCATTCAAATCACCCCTGACAGATGGCCATCCAGCCTCTGTTTCAAAGCTTCCAAAGAAGGAGCCTCCACCACACTCGGGGCAGAGAGTTCCACTGCTGAACGGCTCTCACAGTCAGGAAGTTCTTCCTCATGTTCAGATGGAATCTCCTTTCTTGTAGTTTGAAGCCATTGTTCCTTTGCGTCCTAGTCTCCAGGGAAGCAGAAAGGAAGCTTGCTCCCTCCTCCTCCCTGTGGCTTCCTCTCACATATTTATACATGGCTATCATATCTCCTCTCAGCCTTCTCTTCTTCAGGCTAAACATGCCCAGCTCCTTAAGCCGCTCCTCATAGGGCTTGTTCTCCAGACCCTTGATCATTTAGTCGCCCTCCTCTGGACACATTCCAGCTTGTCAATATCTCTCTTGAATTGTGGTGCCCAGAATTGGACACAATATTCCAGGTGTGGTCTAACCAAAGCAGAATAGAGCATGGGGAGCATGACTTCCCTAGATCTAGACACTATGCTCCTATTGATGCAGGCCAAAATCCCATTGGCTTTTTTTGCCGCCACATCACATTGTTGGCTCATGTTTAACTTGTTGTCCACGAGGACTCCAAGATCTTTTTCACACGTACTGTTCTCAAGCCAGGCCTCATTGTCCCCCATTCTGTATCTTTGCATTTCCTTTTTTCTGCCTAAGTGGAGTCTCTTGCATGCTGTATGGCCATGTTCCAGTAGATGCATCCAAAGGGGTCTAGTGTCCAGCTTGAAGGAAGCCTATTCTGTCCGAACTCCTTGACCTAGGCTCCCTCTTGTCCCCTTTCAGTGCAGACGACCAGTTCACGGGCTCCATGGAGACCAACGTGGTCATCCGGCATGACGGGCAGATCACCTGGGACTCTCCGGCCATCACCAAAAGCTCCTGCAAGGTGGATGTCTCCTACTTCCCCTTCGATGGGCAGCAGTGCCGGCTGACCTACGGCTCGTGGACCTACAACGGGAACCAGATTGACCTGCTGAACAAACAGGAGACCGGGGATCTGACGGACTTTGTGGCCAACGTGGAGTGGGAGGTGCTGGGCATGCCGGCCCGGCGCAACGTCATCACCTATGGCTGCTGCTCAGAGCCCTACCCAGACGTTACCTATACGTTGCACCTCAAGCGTCGGGCCTCCTTCTACATCTTCAACCTGCTCCTGCCCTGTGTCATGATCTCCTTCCTTGCCCCGCTGGGCTTCTACCTGCCAGCTGACTCTGGGGAGAAGGTCTCCCTTGGGGTCACTGTCCTCCTGGCCCTCACCGTCTTCCAACTCCTGGTGGCCGAAAGCATGCCCCCCTCTGAGAACGTTCCCCTCATTGGTAAGTTGAGCTGCTAGGGGGAAATGGGATCTGCCCAAAATGGGGTAGGAAAGCAATGCAAGAGAGGAACAGGGTTGTTTGTGTCACAGGGGTTGTAGGGAGAAAGAGTAAAAAAAACACAAACAACACCTCTGCTAGGTAGTCACGTTGTGGCAGTCGTAGGAGAAAATAAAATAATAAAAGGAAATCATAATAATTTAGAATAAAATAGAAGTTTCCTACCTGATCCAGGGAGTTAATTTGCAAGCATGCAAAACCTGCAGATGGGATTGATTGACACTGGACTTTGGGTTAGTATGTTCTAGCTGAATATTTGCTCTAGCTGATGTTTACATAGATATGAAGTCAACAAGAGAATTTGGCAGGACAAAGAAATCAATAATATCGATCCAAGACTTGGAACATCTAAGGTCATATGGTGAGAGAGCGCCATCCTCTGACCACTTAATGTAAATAGCAGAAGAGTTTTATCTTAAGTAAATTCTTTCATGGTTTTCATATTAAGAAATAAGTTATAATGAAGTAATTAAGACTAGATCGCCTTGATCAAATCTTATGTTATAAGCATATAAAAATTATAATTCAATTAGAGATTTAAATCAATTGAACATATACGTGTCATCTTAGAGTAACGGGTGAAAGTTGGGATAAGTTACCTAATCGAGCAGATGTTTGGGGTCACAACGTGCCTGCCAAGACCTGATAAAGATGTCCTTGGCAACTATACATGGAAACACCTGTTACTGATTGTACAGTGTAAATGTCAGAGCCTTTCTGCGCATGTGTAAAACAAGTAATTTTATGCTATAAAAACTGGAGCAATTGCGACTTCAAGGGGGTGTCAGCCCCTTGTTTGCTGCACACCCTATACTCCGCGGAGATAGAAATAAACGCCTGGAAATTGGCCAAGGTGTCTCTCCATCTTCTTCCTTCTCCAAAAGCACTCTAATGATCTCGGGTAACGTATATTCCGCTACAAATGGGGGCTCATCTGGGATTTGAGTCTATAGAGAAGGAACAGAGATGAAGCCTTTTGGGGGCTTGAATGCCTTCACTCAGGGGGCTCTCACGGCCTCCTCCAGCTTCTCAATGGGACAGACTGTCTCAAAGGCAAGCAGTTAGTTCTGATCCCTGAAAGACTGCAGAGTCTTGGTCACAGTTAGCAGAGATTTTATAGCACGGTCTCTGATCTTGTATAGTAGCTCACCGCTTGAATAAGCAGACTTGAGCTCTGGCTTTCATCCAAACTCCTTTGGAAGTTTATTCTTCAATCGTTGGGTTGTTGTAGTTAGTTTTGATCCCTGAAAGACTGCAGAGTCTTGGTCACAGTTAGCAGAGAGTTAATAGCATGGTCTCTGATCTTGTAGAGTAGCTCACCGCTTGAATAAGCACACTTGAGCTCTGGCTTTCATTCGAACTCCTTTGGAAGTTTATTCTTCAATCGTTGGGTTGTTGTAGTTAGTTCTGATCCCTGAAAGACTGCAGAGTCTTGGTCACAGTTAGCAGAGATTTTATACCACGGCCTCTGATCTTGTATTGTTGAGGAATATATGTTACCCGGGATCATTAGAGTGCTTTTGGAGAAGGAAGAAAGATGGAGGCAGCTCGGCAGATTTCCAGGCGTTTATTCTATCTCTGGAGTATAGGGTGTTCAACAAAACCAGGGGCTGACACACCCTTGAAGTCGCAATTTTTCCAGTTTTTATAGCATAAAGTTGCTAGTTTTTACACGTGCGCAGGACGAATCTGATATTTACACAATACAATCATTAACAGGTGTTTTCATGTATAGTTGCCAAGGACATCTTTTATCAGGTCTTGGCAAGCACGTTGTGACCCCAAACATCTGCTCAGTTATATGACTTATCTCAACTTTCACCCATTACCCTAAGATGACACATTCAATTGCTTTAATTCCTTTAAATCTCTAATTGAATTATAACTTTTATATGTTTATAACATAAGATTTGATCAAGGCAATCTCCTCTTAGTCAATCCAGCCTTAATTACTTCATTACAACTTAGTTCCTAATATGAAGACCAAAGGAATTTGCTTTTGGATGAAAAGTTTCTGAAAGTGCCTGCTATTTACATTAAGTGGACAGAGGATGGCGCTCTCTCACCATATGACCTTATAAGTTCCAAGTCTTGGATCAATATATTGATTTCTGTGTCCTGCCAAATTCTCTTGTTGCTTCATATCTATTGTCAACATTGGCTAAAACAAACATGGCTTGACCCAAAGTCCAGGTCAATCAATATTTCATCTGCAGGGTTTTTTTTTTTTTGCATGTTTGCAAATTAACTCCCTCGAGCTGGTCTTATCAGAATTCAGGTATCAAAATCTTATTTTATTCTAAATTATTATGATTATTATTTTATTTTCTCCTAACGGCTGCCACAGTATAGTAGCTCTCTGCTTGACTAAGCACACTTGAGCTCTGGTTTTCATCCAAATTCCTTTGGAAGTTTATTCTTGTTGGGTTGTTGCCCTATGGGAAAAGCTCTCACGTCCTGTAACTGAGCTTCCAAACTGTAAGACTGAACTAAAAACTTTCTTTTCCCTCCCAGAACCCTGGGGAAAGGGGCGGAACTAAAGAACTTAACGATGATAGGCAGGTGGCTGGCCCTATGGCTGCCCTATGGGAAAAGCCCTCACATCCTGTAACTGAGCTTCCAAACTGTAAGACCGAACTAAAAACTTTCTTTTCCCTCCCAGAACCCTGGGGAAAGGGGCGGAACTAAAGAACTTAACGATGATAGGCAGGTGGCTGGCCCTATGGCTGCCCTATGGGAAAAGCTCTCACGTCCTGTAACTGAGCTTCCAAACTGTAAGACTGAACTAAAAACTTTCTTTTCCCTCCCAGAACCCTGGGGAAAGGGGCGGAACTAAAGAACTTAACGATGATAGGCAGGTGGCTGGCCCTATGGCTGCCCTATGGGAAAAGCTCTCACGTCCTGTAACTGAGCTTCCAAACTGTAAGACTGAACTAAAAACTTTCTTTTCCCTCCCAGAACCCTGGGGAAAGGGGCGGAACTAAAGAACTTAACGATGATAGGCAGGTGGCTGGCCCTATGGCTGCAGCCTGGAAGGAACCATCCAATTGCAAAATGCAGGGCCAAAACAAACACATGCATAGAAAGGAAATTTAGGCTTCTGGTACAGCTGTACCAGCACACTGTCTGTAGAAAAAAGGGGGTTGGACTTGGTGCGCTTTGGGGAGCCCTTCCCACTCTGCAACTCCCATTCCTCCTCTGTTGTATCTCTCCCTCTCTCCACTCCAGGGAAGTACTACATCGCCACCATGACCATGATCACGGCCTCCACTGCCCTGACCATCTTCATCATGAACATCCACCACTGTGGCCCCGGGGCCAAACCAGTCCCACAGTGGGCCAAGACCCTCATCCTGCACTACATGGCCCGCATCTTCTTCGTCTACGAAGTCGGGGAGAGTTGCCGGAGCCCTCGACCGGAGCCGGACTCTTCATCCAAGGGCCAGGTGGTCGGCGAGAAAGCCAGGGGCCCGGCTTCTCCTGGGGAGGCATTCGTGGACCTGGAGGGGGGTCCCGGGGGGGCTGCACCCTGTGCCAAGGGCGGGTGCCTCTGCCGCCAGGGCAGCAGCATCCTCCATAACGTGGAGTACATCGCCAACTGCTTCCGGGACCAGAAGGCGGCCTCCAAACGGACTGGGGAGTGGAAGAAGGTGGCCAAGGTCATGGACCGCTTCTTCATGTGGGTCTTCTTCGCCATGGTCTTCATCATGAGTGTCCTCATCATGGGGCAGGCTGTCTGAGTCTCCTTGTGTCGGATCCGAGGTTTACGGGCAGGCCGTCCCTGACTTACAAATGTCTCCTAGTTAAGAACAACGGGGCTGAGACAGCAGGAAGTGAGATAAATCCATCTTGAAGAAGAGAAATTCACTCCTGGAAGAGTTATTATCAAGGGGAACAGGTCCCTCCACTGAAGCTTTATCTCCTTGTTTCCACAACAAGCCACATTTCCCGAAATCTCATTCACGGTATGGCCTTTGGGGGGGAGGGGGTATTGTGCAAACTATGGAGTGGAAATTGTGAAGTTGCATTCCTGTTGTGTGCTCTCCAGCTGACACCATCAGTGGACCTCCAAGAGTCCTGTGGAGCGTCTACACTGCAGAATTAACCTGGTTTGACACCTCTTGAACTGCCATGGCGCAGTGCTATAGGATACTGGTAGCTGTAGTTTTGCAAGGTCTCATAGCCTTCTCTGGATGCATCTACAACGTGGAATAAGTGCCATTTGACCCCTCTACTTCTCCTCCTTCTACTTCTCCACCACTTCCTCCTTTACTTTCTCTCCCTTCCCCTTCCCCCTCCTTCACTTTCACCTTCACTTTCTCTCTTCCCCTTCCTCCTCCTTCCTTCCTTCTCTTTCACTTCCTCCTTCTCCTTCACTTTCTCCTTCCTTCTTTCTCCTCTCCTCCTCTCCTTCTTCACTTCCTCCTCCTCCTCCTCCTCTCCTTCTCCTCCTTCCTTCTCCTTCCTTCCCTTCTCCTTCTCCTTCACTTCCTCCTCCTCTCCTCCTCCTCCTTCTCCTTCACTTCCTCCTCCTCCTCCTTCTCCTCCTTCTCCTTCACTTCCTCCTTCTCCTCCTCCTTCACTTCCTCCTTCTCCTCCTCCTCTTCCTCCTCCTCCTTCTCCTTCTCCTTCACTTCCTCCTTCTCCTCCTCCTTCACTTCCTCCTTCTTGTTCTCCTTCTCCTTCAACTCCTCCTTCTCCTTCTCCTTCTCCTTCTCCTTCCTTCTCTCCTCCTCCTCCTCCTCCTCCTTCCTTCCTCCTTCTCCTTCTCCTTTTCTCCTTCTCCTCTTCCTCCTCCCTTCTCCTTCCTCCTCCTCCTCCTCCTCCTCCTCCACCACCTCCTCCACCTTCTCCTTCACCTTCACCTTCTCCACCTTCTCCTTCTCCTCCTCCTCCTTCTCCTTCTCAATATTAGTATTTATACCCTGCTTTTTTTTCTCCCAAAGGAGACTCGAATTTCCATGGCTCAATGCAGTGGGACCCTGGGAGTTGTAGTTTGGGGAGGCAACAGCACACTGACAGAGAAAGGTCTTGTGAAGCTACAACTCCTGGGATCCCAAAGCATTGAGTGACGACTGTGAAACTGCATTCATTCGGTGGAAATGCACTTTGAAACTCACTACCAAGAAACCTCCAAGAAATAGACACACCGACCCAGTACTGGGTTTTGTAATATTTATATTGGTTACGCAGACAAAAGGGGGAAAAATCACATCCACTCTAACATTCACTCATAATCCATTCATTCACTTATTCATGCTCACCATCCTTCTTCATTCAGGCTTCTTGGAAGGAAGGAGGCAAGTATTCAAAATGTTGCATTCCTCACAGATCTGGCACACAATCCAAAAGGAAAAGGGTCTCCTTATGTAGGATTCTTTGTTGTTGTTGTTGTACTTGGTTGTAACTTGTCATCCAGCTTGGACTTTCTGGAGACACATCAACCCTGGAATATGCATTGTCGAAAGCTTTCATGACTGGAATCACTGGGTAGTTGTAGGTTTTTTCAAGCTACATGGCCATGTTCTAGAGGCATTCTCTCCTGACGTTTCGCCTGCATCTATGGCAAGCATCCTCAGAAGTAGTGAGGTCTGTTGGAACTAGGAAAGAAAATTATAAGAGCAAAATAACACTCAAACACAGGGAAACTCCAGAGAGCAAACAATCAAGGACAGCTAATCACCTCTCAACAAAGGATTCCCTCAGGCACTAACAAGTCAAACAAAAAAAACTGCCAGGCCATCAAATGCTAATCAAGGTGGCCCATTTAAACATTCACACCTACCTCCAACAGACAAGAGTTCTTTCTCCCACCCTGGACATCATTCCACAGATATATAAACCCTGTTTTCCCAGTTCCAACAGACCTCACAACCTCTGAGGATGCTTGCCATAGATGCAGGCGAAATGTCAGGAGAGAATGCTTCTAGAACATGGCCATATAGCCTGGAAAAACCTACAACAACCCAATTCTGGAATAGATATCTCTTACAGTAACATTGCCTTTGACTATGTAAACAGGCTTTGTTTTCATCTAAAGGTCTCAGGTTAGTTATCTGGATTTCTCATGAGCTTTTCAGGCCACAGTGAATGGACTCTTCATCTCCTCCATAATGCCATTTTCAGTTTTCAGATGGTGTCTCTTCAGTCGTATTTATTTGTCGTGTCAGGGCAACCAGTCAATTGTATTACATTTCTAACAGAACAAAACAAACAAACAGACAAAATACAAAATTTGTGAGTTTGGTAGTTGGTTAAATGTCCTTTGACCAGTATCTGGCCCCTTGGAGTGCCTCTGGTGTTGCCGCAAGAAGGTCCTCCCTTGTGCATGTGGCAGGGCTCAGGTTGCATTGCAGCAGGTGGTCAGTGGTTTGCTCCTCTCCGCACTCGCATGTCGAGGATTCCACTTTGAAGCCCCATTTCCTAAGGTTGGCTCTGCATCTCGTGGTGCCAGAGCGCAGTCTGTTCAGCGCCTTCCAAGTCGCCCCGTCTTCTGTGTGCCCAGGGGGAGTCTCTCATTTGGTATCAGCCATTGGTTGAGGTTCTGGGTTTGAGCCTGCCACTTTTGGACTCTCGCTTGCTGAGGTGTTCCAGCGAGTGTCTCTGTAGATCTTAGAAAACTATTTCTAGATGTAAGTCATTGACGTGCTGGCTGATACCCAAACAAGGGATGAGCTGGAGATGTCTCTGCCTTGGTCCTTTCACTATTGGCTGCTACTTCCTGGCGGATGTCAGGTGGTGCAATACCGGCTAGACAGTGTAATTTCTCCAGTGGTGTAGGGCGCAGACACCCCGTGATAATGCGGCATGTCTCATTAAGAGCCACATCCACTGTTTTAGTGTGGTGAGATGTGTTCCACACTGGGCATGCGTACTCAGCAGCAGAGTAGCACAGCGCAAGGGCAGATGCCTTCACTGTGTCTGGTTGTGATCCCCAGGTTGTGCCAGTCAGCTTTCGTATGATATTGTTTCTAGCACCCACTTTTTGCTTGATGTTCAGGCAGTGCTTCTTGTAGGTCAGAGCACGGTCCAGAGTGACTCCCAGGTATTTGGGTGCACTGCAATGCTCCAGTGGGATTCCTTCCCAGGTTCCTCAGAGCTCGGGATGCTTGTCTGTTCTTAAGGTGAAAGGCACATGTCTGTGTTTTAGATGGATTAGGGATCAGCTGGTTTTCCCTGTAATAGGCAGTAAGAGCACCTAGAGCTTCGGAGAGCTTCTGTTCCACCATCTCAAAGCTCCCTGCTTGAGCGTTGATGACACGATCATCAGCATAGATGAAACTCTCTGTCCCTTCTGGCACTGGCTGGTCATTTGTGTAGATGTTGAACATGGATGGAGCAAGCACGCTCCCCTGAGGCAGGCCGTTCGTCTGTTTCCACCATCTGCTTTCTCTGGCCCTGGAACTCAACAAAAAAGCTCCTGTTTTGTAGCCCTTAGCCAGACCCTAATCATACGGATTCATTCATTACACCTCCAGTTCCCAGGATTCCAGGGCAGATCAAGTGGGGTCAAGCTGCATTCATTCCACAAGACAGAAGACCTTGTGAAACTACAACTCCCAGAGTTCCATAGTATTGAGCTGCGGCAATTAAAGTGGCGTCAAACTGCATTCCTTCTGCAGTGTAGATGCACCCCTGGTCCCCTGCTGCTTGAGCTTACCTTGACCGAGTCAATACTCCTGCAATATTGCAGCCTTTCCACATAGTTTGCCACTGGCTTCCACTTTCTGTGATGGTGCACCAATGGAAATAATGGTGGCCAAATGGTTTCCAGGCCAATGAATCCATTCTAGGTTTGGATGGAAAGAGTTGGACTTGCCTGGATCTCTCTTTTAAGGTCTGTGTCAAAACGTGGAATGGATTTTCTGTCCCACCGAAAGGGAACCGATAGCCACAAGGGTTGCCAAGAAGATTCGGAAGCCAGGAGATGGTTCCCATTCCCATTTCGGCTCCAGGAGACACACCTGCTCCCTGCTGCACCGCTTTGCCCCTTCGCTTCTCACCTGTATGTCCCACCTGGCAGATCTTCTCCTTCAATAAAAAGCAGGGAGTCAGGAGGGAGAGAGAAAAAGTGGTAACAATAAAGGTAACAATAAAGGCTCTTCTTTGTGTCGTCACTGAGCTATCAATCCCTTCCAATGTATTGTCGAAGGCTTTCATGGCTGGAGTCACTGGGTTGTTGTAGGTTTTTTCGGGCTATATGGCCATGGTCTAGAGGCATTTTATCCTGACGTTTCGCCTGCATCTATGGCAAGTATCCTCAGAGGTAGTGAGGTCTGTTGGAACAAGGAAAAAGGGGTTTATATATCTGTGGATATATCTACACGGCAAACGTTCAATGCCATAGACATACAACTTATAGAGACAGAGGCTATTTAACATTCCAGCTTTTTGATGAGGGTATTCTGGCTACCAGGGGAGCTGTTGCTTCACCGTCCATTTCTGACACTGAATTGAGTACTTCCTCATTCTTTGCATGCTTGCTGGAGATTTTTATGCCGTCGTAAATTAGTTAAATTAGCCTCCCCGCATAAGCGGTACCTAAATTTCCTACTTGACAGATGCAACTGTCTTTCAGGCCGCAAAAGTCGACAGCAAGCTACACAAATTGGTCGGAAGCTCACTCCGACCCAGGCTGGATTTGAACTCATGACCTTTCAGCGAGTAGTGATATCGAGCAAGAATTTAGGGGTCTTTGCCAGAAGGCAGAGACCAGTCAGACCCATCAAAGAGAGTCCTTTCGGCCCTGGTGAGAAAGGAGGCACCCAATAGAGTTTTCCCTGATTTTCCAATAAAAAAAGTCTCACCGAGTTGCCTTTATTTTTGTTCCAGCTGGTACGGATGTCAAGCTGCAATCCCTTGCCAAAAACTGACATGTTTTGCAAGGCAGAATAGTACATTTCTATAGAGAAACAGAGCTGTCAAATTCAAACTTCCCATTCCCGCCCCCCTTAGCCG